TTCAATCCGTGATTTGACCTTTAAGGTCAAATATTTTTAATAAGGTATATATTAGGGAACTCGAGATTCTGACCCTAGCTATCGAATGCCACCATCAGAAATTGGATCGGACGATTGGTGTAGAAAAAATAGGGGGACTCAAAATTTCAATCCGTGATTTGAGCTTTAAGGTCAAATATTTTAATAAGGTGTATATAAGGGAATTCGAGATTCTGACCCTAGCTATCGAATGCGACCTTCAGAAGTCGGATCGGAAGATCGGTGTAGAAAAATCGGGGGACTCAAAATTTCAATCCGTGATGTGACCTTTAAGGTCGAATATCCGTGATTTGACCTTTAAGGTCAAATATTTTTAATAAGGTATATATGAGGGAACTCGAGATTCTGACCCTAGCTATCGAATGCGACCATCAGAAATCGGATCGGACGATCGGTGTAGAAAAAATTGGGGGACTCAAAATTTCAATCCGTGATTTGACCTTTAAGGTCAAATATTTTTAATAAGTTATATATTAGGGAACTCGAGATTCTGACCCTAGCTATCGAATGCGACCATCAGAAATCGGATCGGACGATCGGTGTAGAAAAAATTGGGGGACTCAAAATTTCGATCCGTGATTTGACCTTTAAGGTCAAATATTTTTAATAAGGTATATATTCGGGAACTCGAGATTCTGACCCTAGCTATCGAATGCGACCATCAGAAATTGGATCGGACGATCGGTGTAGAAAAAATCGGGGGACTCAAAATTTCAATCCGTGATGTGACCTTTAAGGTCGAATATCCGTGATTTGACCTTTAAGGTCAAATATTTTTAATAAGGTATATATGAGGGAACTCGAGATTCTGACCCTAGCTATCGAATGCGACCATCAGAAATCGGATCGGACGATCGGTGTAGAAAAAAATGGGGGACTCAAAATTTCAATCCGTGATTTGACCTTTAAGGTCAAATATTTTTAATAAGTTTATATTAGGGAACTCGAGATTCTGACCCTAGCTATCGAATGCGACCATCAGAAATCGGATCGGACGATCAGTGTAGAAAAAATTGAGGGACTCAAAATTTCGATCCGTGATTTGACCTTGAAGGTCAAATATTTTTAATAAGGTATATATTAGGGAACTCGAGATTCTGACCCTAGCTATCGAATGTGACCATCAGAAATTGGATCGGACGATCGGTGTAGAAAAAATAGGGGACTCAAAATTTCAATCCGTGATTTGACCTTTAAGGTCAAATATTTTAATAATGTATGTATTAGGGAACTCGAGATTCTGACCCTAGCTATCGAATGCGACCATCAGAATTTGAATCGGACGATCGGTGTAGAAAAAATAGGGGGACTCAAAATTTCAATCCGTGATTTGACCTTTAAGGTCAAATATTTTTAATAAGGTATATACTAGGGAACTCGAGATTCTGACCCTAGCTATCGAATGATGCGACCATCAGAAATTGGATCGGACGATCGGTGTAGAAAAAATAGGGGACTCAAAATTTCAATCCGTGATTTGACCATTAAGGTCAAATATTTTTAATAAGGTATATGTTAGGGAATTTGAGATTCTGACCCTAGCTTTCGAATGCGACCTTCAGAAATCGGATCGGACGATCGGTGTAGAAAAATAGGGGACTCAAAATTTCAATCCGTGATTTGACCTTTAAGGTCAAATATTTTTAATAAGGTATATTAGGGAATTCGAGAATCTGACCCTAGCTATCGAATGCGACCTTCAGAAATCGGATCGGACGATCGGTGTAGAAAAAATCGGGGGGACTCAAAATTTCAATCCGTGATGTGACCTTTAAGGTCGAATATCCGTGATTTGACCTTTAAGGTCAAATATTTTTAATAAGGTATATATTAGGGAACTCGAGATTCTGACCATAGCTACCGAATACGACCATCAGAAATCGGATCGGACGATCGGTGTAGAAAAAATTGGGGACTCAAAATTTCAATCCGTGATTTGACCTTTAAGGTCAAATATTTTTAATAAGGTATATATTAGGGAACTCGAGATTCTGACCCTAGCTATTGAATGCGACCATCAGAAATTGGATCGGACGATCGGTGTAGAAAAAATAGTGGGACTCAAAATTTCAATCCGTGATTTGACCTTTAAGGTCAAATATTTTTAATAAGGTATATATTAGGGAACACGAGATTCTGACCCTAGCTATCGAATGCGACCATCAGAAATTGGATCAGACGATCGGTGTAGAAAAAATAGGGGGACTCAAAATTTCAATCCGTGATTTGACCTTTAACCCTCGCCCGTAAACGGCGATCTGCCACCTTCGCCCATGCAGGGGGGGGGGTTGGTGCGACCCCCCCCCTTGGCGTTTGAAAACGGAGCGTCGTAGAGCTTAGCGGAAAAGACCAACGGATTGCTCTCGCCGAGATCTCGCGATTGGTGGTATATTTTTTGGTCCTAGGTCAACATTTGACCTACTTTTGACCGGTCAAAGGTCAAATTTTCGGAAAAATAGACTTTTTTCAACTTTCCGCGGCGATTGCGGCAAAACGGTGGGAGATATCGACTTGAAACCTTCACTATCGTGTTCCTTGATCAATTCTCTATCGTTTGGTATGTATTTCGTTTCCCTAGCTCTAAAAATGGCGCGTTGGGAGCGCCGGAAGTCGGCAAGGTCACAGTCGGCGGCAGAAATTCGAAAAATCAAATTTTAAATTTTTGAAATCTGATTGTATTTTTGGATTTGGAAGGTCCATTTGCTCCCTATAGAAGCTAATATTGCTGCATATTCCCATTGAGGTGACAAGAATTAGCAAAATAGTGGTTCGGGCGCTTTTCAAAAATAGTACCGGACGCTGTTCCTCTTGTGACGTCATAGCTCCGTGACCTGACCTGACCCGGTCAAGTTTCTTATACCATATGATAGCCAATACTTGCCCCAACATGCATGGGAAGTTTCATCACAATCCATCAACCGATGTCCGTACCACCGGCAGGAAACCTCGGGCGTTGGCACTCAGTTTGTGAAAATCCGGCCGGAGGCTGTTCCCTTTGTGACGTCATAACTCCGTGACCTTACATGACCCGGTCAAATTTTTTTTATCAAAAGATGCGCAAGGTTTGCCCCATAAGGTAGCCACAATTTGGCGGCGCTGCGCGCCGCCGTTTTTGCACTATTTCCGAAAAACCTCAGGGGGGGGGGGGGGGGGGGTTGCACCAACTACCTTAACCCTACATGGGCGAGGGTTAAGGTCAAATATTTTTAATAAGGTATGTATTAGGGAACTCGAGATTCTGACCCTAGCTATCGAATGCGACCATCAGAAATTGGATCGGACGATCGGTGTAGAAAAAATAGGGGGACTCAAAATTTCAATCCGTGATTTGACCTTTAAGGTCAAATATTTTTAACAAGGTATATATTAGGGAATTTGAGATTCTGACCCTAGCTTTCGAATGCGACCTTCAGAAATCGGATCGGACGATCGGTGTAGGAAAAATCGGGGACTCAATTTCAATCCGTGATTTGACCTTGAAGATGACCTTGAAATTTGAAATGAATACGATATTCGGAATCAGCGTCCCAAACTGCATCGGATAGGTTGGGTTTAGTTGAAATTCGGACTCGACGCTGAATCCGTCGCGGAATACGACGCTAACTTCACGCACGTCAGCCGACGTCGGACCGAGATCAATTGCTGAGGTCCAGCCGACGTCGGGCCGACGTCGGGGCGACGTCGGACCGACATCGGCCGCTGTTTTGACCGTTAAAATAATATAAAATACATGTTTCATGCTTCATAAAGAGCTTCTGTATTCAAAATATCCTCAGGAAACTCAAATATTCCTCCACGCCGCAACCCCCTGATCCGGACTGGACGGAAAACTTTATCCCATTTGGGATTGCCCGTAAGCCGAGCTCGCCCGTAGCCGGGAGCGGTGAGTGCTTGGGGGCTGCTCGGCCTATCCTTTGGTCAGGCTCAGCCCCGGCAACTCACCAGGGCCGGGCCCAGTTCATATAGAAAGGCCAGTCGGTAAGTGTCACTTTGCCAAAGTGCCGCTTATCAAAGGGACACTTTGGGAAACGTTGGTGCAGGTGTGTATTTGTAAGAGTGGCTATATGAATCCATTGTGGGGTCGCCCTTTCCAATAAGTGTCACGTAACAGCAATGGGACCAGGGACTCTATATGAACTGGACCCAGGGTGCTCGCCAAGAAGACCAATGTCTCCAAACTATGATCCTTCCGGCTCTGAAATGGTCTTGTCAGACCGAAAGGGCATAACCCAACAAAACAAACCAAATTTGTTAGTTGGCTGCGTGGTGTAGTGGTTAGCGCACTAACCTCGCGTTCGGATGACACGGGGTTCGAATCCCATCGCCGGCTAATGCTTTTGGCGTGTTGTCCCAGTAAACATGCCGACGTCGGCGACTGGGGGGCTCGAATCCCGCCGCCGGTTGATACTTTTGGCGCGTTGTCCCAATAAACATGCCGACGTCGGCCCCGTCGGTCCAACGACAAACGATCTCGTCAACCTCGGCAAACGATCTCGGCCCGACGTCGGCTCGACGTCGGCTGGACTTCGGCTGGACGTCGGAACATGCGGGCATATCCGACGTCCAGCCGATGTCGGGCCGAGGTTGGACCGACGTTTGGCCGACGTCGGGCCGAGCCTCGGCCCGACGTCGGGCCGACGTCGTCATGTTTACTGGGTAACTTGACACTGTGGTGGTAAAAGCCAACATTGTTTGGATCCCACAAAGATATCAATACAATCTAAGGCGTTTTCATCGCTCTAGTGTGCTTTTAGCGAAACACTGTTGCATACCATTTTTGTGACCTAAGATGACCTCAAGGACATAGGGAGGGGCCACGGGTGCCATTTTCCTCTAGCTCCTCTACCTCTATTGTTTAAACACAGAATGGCGAAAGACGCAAGCGCGTGTGAGTCCCTGCCGTCGTTGATAGCTACGGGGCAATTCGAGCGTAGGCCATTTCTCACACCAATAGACAGACAGCATGTTATTAAAATTTATTGTTATGTCTACAAAAAGTAATATAAAAGCAAGGGCTCGTCCGGGATTTGAACCCGGGACCTCTCGCACCCTAAGCGAGAATCATACCCCTAGACCAACGAGCCAACTACCAAACATCCCTGCTGATTGAGAGACAGCCGAGTAGAACAAGCCAGGCATCCCCTCGCTAACCAGACCACAAGTAACCACACAGCCGGTTCCGGTCGCGCCGCGACTTGTAACTACAAGCCGCAGCCGACGGGCGTTTTGTACACGAGCGACAGCATCAAATCACGCCCCCCCCCCACACATGGAACACTTAGTCGCTTAACTGGCCTACAAAGCGGGAGCACGACCCATCGGCGGATCAAGAAGTTGGATTAAACCGATTACGATGCTACAGAGCAAAGTGCAAACAAGACAGCCTCTGAGAAGTATGAAGGTGATTGCTAACGATTTCACCCCAGTGCACCGCGAGCATACCTCCCTGGACGGCACACACAGCCGCGCGAGCGCCGAGCTCTGTCCCGAGCCGGCACGCGAGCAAAGCACACTATAATAGGCACTAGCGCCGAGAGCGGCAACATTAGCAGATTGTCATATTTACAGTACGACGCACAAACAGTAGCTACGTAAAGTAATAAATACAAACACAAAATTTCTCAAAAGAGATGACGATTTTAAAAGCAAGATGCGCGAGTCAGGAGGCAAAAGTAAAAGCGACCCCCAAATCTGGCTCAACAATTCAGTGGTGCCAGCCACCAACCAGCACCTCCAGTGTTCGCGAATCGCGATCGCTAAAGGAACATCGCTCGAAAGGACGGTAACTGCAAAAAGGTGCCTCAGGGGGTCTGATAAAGCAGCGCTAAAACAAAACAACCTCCTCGTCAATGCAACATTCTGCGCAAAAAGTTGCAGTGTTTGCACAACACATAAATTCATACCAAAAGCCAGGATACATCCCGATTTCCACTTTTTAAACACATTCTAAGGCAAACTATACTAGGAATGGAACCATACGTGCGGACACGTAGTCAAGGAAAGTGGGGGAGGGTAATTGATTAGACTAGTCCTCTCCCTGATACCAGCGCTTTCATGATCGGGTCAAACCGAGGCAAAATGAAAGAGACTTGGACGCATGACGAGTATTATGATAAGACAGGAACTACTTGCTACAAAACAGTATGACCAAACAGCACAGGTTTAGCTCACAGCGCATCAAAACGAACACGAAAACGCGAATGGGCTCGTCCGGGATTTGAACCCGGGACCTCTCGCACCCGAAGCGAGAATCATACCCCTAGACCAACGAGCCGCGCTATCCCACCGGTCGGAAAGCAGAACAGACCCACTTTCACTGTTGAGGTGGCGCTGCCTGGCCCTCCCAGCAGCGCGTGTTGGAGAGCTCCACCAGCGCCATGGCGCCGACCATACGCGAGGCGCCGGCGCGGATGACGCTGGGCCGCGGCGGCGGGTCGTCGATGGCGTCCAGGTTCAGCCGGCGCTGCGTGATGGTCGGCACGTGCGCCGCCGCCGGCGAGCCCACCGCCGACGCCGGCGTCTTGGCGGGACTGAGCGACAGCGTGCCCGACATCTGATCCTTCAGACACTGGATGAACCAGCGCTTCTTGGGGTTGCGCACCGGACTGCCGGCCAGCAGTGCCTGGTAGCGGCGGCGCGCCTCCTCGCGGCGCGGGCTCTGGCGGACGGGCGTGTTCTCGTCGCTGTCCCAGCCGGCGGCGGCCGCGGGCCTGGCTGGCGGGTGGCGCCGCGGGCTGCGGCGCACCACCAGGCTCAGCGGCTCGGGGAACATCTCTGTGACAGGCAGGGGCCGCCGCGGCGGCGACACAATCACCGGGCGCGGGTGTTTGCGCGGGCTCATCCTCACCGGTTCGGGCGGCGGCGGCTGCTCGCGGCACTCGGGTCGCCGCGGCTCGGCCGGCGTGTCGGGCTCGGCCGGCGGCTCTGGCTCGCCGTGCTGCTGCAGCAGCGGCGCCAGGCCGCGCTTCAGCCGCGACAGCCGGCCGCCGTCCAGCTCGGTGGAGCGCGTCGGCGTCTGGCACTGCTCCTTGGCGGCCGGCCGGCGCGCGCCCTTGGCCGGCGTCCGCTCCATCCGCTGCCGGTAGAACCTACCGCAGAGAGGCCGCTGTCAGTGGACGACCCATCTGCTAGGAACACAACGGGTGCCGAGCCGCAGCCGATACAGTATGCTCTGAGCCGTGGTGTCATTACATCAATTTTATTGTTTACTTAACCCTCGCATGTGTGCGGCGTTTGCTAGCTTCTAACGTGTAGGGGGGGGGGGGGGGGGTCGGTTGGACCCCCTTGCCGTTTGGCCCCTGATCGAGTTAGAGCTTTGCGGAAAAGACGAGCGTGTTGCCCGTCACGAGACGAAGTCGACGATACCCAATTTTAAGGGCCTGGGTCATTGGTTGACCTTTCAGGTCAGTTCAGTGACCCAAAACTCGGGAAAATCGGGACCTGTTAGAAAGTCGTAAAGTGTAGCTGCTATAGGGGTTTTCGGGGTGCTGGTTACGAATATCGTGTTAGTTTTGATCACAGATGATGTTTTTAAGCATTTAGACCAGGTCGGGTCGGGTCAGGTCAGGTCAGGTCAACCAGTAAGGGTCGTAACGGGTATTCGTAGTAGGTGTCAAACGCCTCTGACAGCTTCGTTCGTTACATGTACGAAGACACCGAAACTACTTCGTAAATGTTCAAATGGTTTCTAAATTCGAATTCAGCTCCAAAAACTAGCCTAGAAACATGTAAAACTAGAAAAAGTGAACCGAGGTCACCAAAGGTCAATGACCTGACTTCACCTTCAGGTGACCTTGATATCCACCCTAATGCATGGGAGCAACATCGAATCACATGTTTGAACAATTGAAACCACGAAAATCTTGCAAACGCGCGGCTAATGCGAGCCGACATACGCCGAATCGCCATTCCGGCCACACATGGCCTCGAGAAATAGGTCACAGGTCAAAGGTCACTCGGGTCAGGGTCATGAAATTTTCAGAGTAGGTGCAAGATTGATCAACTCGAGGGTACTGAGAGTTTCGTCGCGATCGGCCGCTTTTTGCGCGAGTTATTCGCGAAAAACCATGAGGGGGGGGAGGTCCATCCGACCCCCCCCCCTACACATGCGAGGGTTCAAGGTAGCTTCAATTTTGAATGAACCGATTGACAGAGCCTGAGCCAACGCCAAGCAAATGTTCTTTCGCAGGCCACTTCCCCCAAAGTCCAACAAAGCACCTAGCTATTAACTTACTTGGACCACAGTGCCTACCCATTCCACTCAGAGTTACAAGTAAAAAAATGTGGCGTCATAATGTTCCCAAATCGACATTTGAAAACCACTATTTGCTAAAATCATTTATCAATTCACGTTTCTAGCCCAAAGGCAAAACTCCCGCCACCGTTTGAAGCCACACTACAGTTTTCATTACGCGTGCAGAAAATGCACGCCTAGAAACTTGAGAGCTAATCCTGCATCAATTTTTCACATTAAAAGAATAATCTTTTCATAATAGTATTCATAATAGTATTCATACTTTTCATAATAGCACCTGGAAAATGGGATGCGTTCAACTCAGCAATACCGATCGATTGCTATGCGTATTCAACTCGGAGTATAACCTCTTCCGGCTAAGAGATAGCTTTGACATGCGGTCACATTTTCATCTTGATCTTTAACGTCAAATTATTGTTCATTCGATGCATCTACAGGGTGTCTCAAAAGTTCGTTCACACATTTCCCATGCCCATAAAGCATATAAGAACCGGCCAAAAATCTAAGGTTTTGGTGTCTGTGTGCACACTAGACAAATATGCATGCTTTGACAACTGATTCGGAAGGTTGGAAATCAAACTATTTGCTGTATCTCCAAAAATATTTGTCCATACCGATTTTCGTCGCTCCGTCAGCTGCCGGAGGCTGATAGAAGGTTACCAGCTTTCAAGCTCTTGTAGGGGAATCCCCTGCAGTTTCTGCGTCGGATTTAGGTTTGACGAGCTCCCCGGCAACATCCGCTTCTCCCTGAAAGCCGTCAGCTTGCATCGACACCATCCGTGAGTATTTTGTAGGTCTTCTCTGGCGCTAACTCATTCATGAATGACTGGCGCCGACCTCCCAAGCACCATTTTCCTTTTCAAAACAACCCCATTCCTGAACAAATGGGAAGTGCCAGGGGCAAATTTTTCGCAGCATATCGTAGAAGAATGTGTCGGCCATCTGTTTCTTAGACACGTTGTGCAAATTTTGCAAATCCCAAACGCTCATCATTCCCCATGACAAGATCTTCACTGGGTTGCGGAGTGTTTTCCTCAGGAGAGGTTCTGCTTTGTAAACGGCCAAAACCTGTCCATCGTGCGGTTTTGTCGGGATTTTGTGTCTAAAAGAAAGCTGTTCGCTCCAGATCTGCCTCTTGAAACTTCGTAAGATAAAAATTTACATTAATTGACACTTTTGTAGGGTCAGTTGTCCTTGGCATTGACGATTTTCGTGTTATTTTCCCCCAAAATTTAGCGTTATAGATATGATAAACAATTTAAAATGATACTTTGTCTTTATTTTACGATGACCTGCAATTTTTGAAACTGGGTAACCTCTGTCTGTAAGCTTCTTGTCAGTTTTCAATAGTTATGACTTCATTTTAAGCTGCTTTCCGGAGCACGAGTCTGCTGCCGTACGAGGGTCGTTCAAAACGCTGTTAGTCTCGCATGGTTTTGTCCTTCAAAAATTTTAGCCACCGTTTTTATCAGATGATCATCATGTTGTACTCATCCTCGCCGACAGTTTGCCATGGGTCATTTCCGACTTAACCATTCCCATTACTCCTGAAATAGAGTTTCTCAGCCGACCCGATTTTGCGACCTCTATTTTCATGCCTGACCCATGGTCAGAGATGAACCCTTTTTGTGAGCTCATGAAGGGTGGAATGCGCTTGAAAACGATGAGACTGCTTGAGGAAGGTTGTTACGAATGCCCATGCAAAATTTCGACCGTTAATTAATTGTTGATTCAGAATTATTGACAAAAAAGCATGGCTGGTACCTGTGAACGAACTTTTGAGACACCCTGTAGATGTGGAGAGAAACAGAATGGTGACAAAAATGTCCAACAATGATGAAAAAAATGACGCGGAAAAATCGATTCGGCAAGATTCCTCTATTTTGGCAGTTATTGCAGTCTGTGTGCCATACCCTTGACCTCGATCAAATCTGGATAAAATGTGGGGACATTCTTGCCAAAAAGCTTCGACAAATAGCCATGGAATGCGCTTTTCCGCGATGCTGTAGCTCGAAAAGTTCATGAATCATTTGTAAAAAATGCGAAAGACGGGAAAATTGGCGGGAAAATTTGACACTTAATTGATCTAGTGAAATCAGGGCTGATCCAAGTTGAAAATGACCGTTACGCCTCTGAAAAATAAATTATTGAGAGCGATTGATTGCTTTTCTGAGTCATCACAGCTGTCGTTGTTTGAAAATTGACTGTTCCCGGCAAAACAGGCAATACTCGACTGTTTCGTTGGCATGGCAGGCTTGACAGGAGAGTGATCGTGGATGGATGTGTTGACTTCGCTATCGCTGACTGTGACAGCCTGGTGTGCGCTGGTCGCTTTCATTGGAATAAATCTGAGGGGTGTTCACGGGCACCGCACACTGCTGCGTGCGGTGTGTGCGGTGGGTCCAGCAGGCGTGGGGGTAGGGGACGGGTAGGCGGCTCTGACGTCACGGCTGCGTGCGGTGGACGGTACGCTGTGGCCAGTCCCGACCGGCCACAGCGATCGCTGTGTGCGGTGACGGAAGGCTGACGTAGGGACGCAGTGGGCGGAGCTTGGAGGCTGTGTGCGGTCCGACCGCACACAGGGCCCAACAGCCCTCAGGCAATGAGGAGTGGTAATCTATCTGCTTGTTACACCTCTTACTATCTACCAGTGGAACGGAACGCTTGACTAAGCCGTAGTCTGCCGCCTATCACACAATTCATTGTATCTATGGCGAGAGTTAGGTCCTGTGTTACTCAGCATGCGTGATGCTGCACAGTCTATCATCTCAGACAGTTCTGTTTGTTTTCTGTGGAATATCATCATGTAGTCAACTGTAGAGCTGCGATGCATACTTTTTTCAAAATGACTACTCCGGTTAATAAAGCCACCGCTTATTAAATCCAAAACGCCTTGTCACCAAGGTGGATTCATTAAGCGAATTCTTCTGTACTTTATCAGCAATGCTTGCTACAATACTTACATACGTTTTCTTACCAGCCAGCCATTACGGATTCCTGACGGGCGGCTCCAGTGACTCACCTCTGGAACCACTCTCGCACATCGGGAGACGCCTCGTTGAGGATCTTGGCGCAGGGCACGCAGTCCTCGGGAGGTACGCGGTGCAGCGCCGACTTGGGGTGCAGGCTGCACTGGCGGTTGGCGTGCGTGAACCGGCTCGTACACCCTGGGACAAAACACCAAGCACCTTAACCACCGCCATTCTCTTGAACTGGCTTCTTCACTATCATAACACAATCATTACTCATGTCAGATTTAGCCTCATTCCAATACTTGCAATGGAAAAAAACCCTATCTTATTAATGTGTTTTCTACTTTTTGGACAGCCTTCCATTAAATTTGCAATGTTTTGACTCAAAAGTCCAAAGTAACTTTTTTGTTAATTTCTTTGAATCTTATCAATTCAGGACCCTGTGATCAATCTGCAGACCTTTCAGATGTACCTAAAAGGCTGAAACATTTTTAACATTGGCTCTTGTACCTACGCAAATGCATTTGTATGACTGTGCTTATATATAACAAAAAAGGGCATCAAACAGAAGCATAATATAAAATAGTGAAAACAGAACTTGAACTGCATAGAAAGTGCGTGCCAACACATACCTGGTGTGGAGCAGGTGAACGGCTTCTCCCCCGTGTGGAGGCGCTGGTGGGTGTTCAGCTGGCCACTCTGGGTGAACCGCCGGCCACAGCCAGGGTAGTCACATACAAATGGACGTTCACCTGCGGATCAGACCACCATCTGCGTCAGTGGAAAATGACAAAATGTAAGACATCTTTCTGGGGGCATTACAATGACTTCCATATCCTTAACATGAACTCACACTTATTCGACCTAAAACTTTTATTATTTATACATGTGATGCAATATCCTGCAATGCCACACTATCTATAAATTGGAGGTGAATTTCAAAATGGAAATAGTGAAAGTCACTCAGACTTGTGATTGCATAAGCTCTTCAATTAATGGCTTAGAATGGCTGTAAGTTACAGGGGAAGGATAGGTACCAACTGGGAGCACTGAACGACGTACCTGTGTGAACACGAATGTGTGCTTGTAGTGATTTTTCCCTAGGAAACTCCCTGAAACAGAACTTGCACTGAATGAGGCTTTTAGCCCTCTTGCCTACATTTTGAAGAAGCTCAATGTCTTCACTCCTTGGACGGCCTCTGCGACGAAGGTGATCCACATCACCTGAGCCTGACGAGTCCAGTGTTGCATTAGGGATTTTTTGGTCTGGAGTTGATACATCAGTTTCATGAGGTGCACTGCTGAAATCTGCCTCAGTCTTAGTCTTGCTGGACTGAAGTAGGTCATACACACTGTAGCCAGGCTGGACATTCAGTGAGTCACCAGAGACTTTCACGTCGTGGCTGTAGCACAAATAGTCTCTCAAACGTTCTGCCATAGGTGTTGACACCTGCTCCATTTCGTACTTGTTGATCAACAGCAGCTGCGACCACAAAAACACACTTCCTTCCGAGTCCGAGAAACTGGCATTTAAAGACACCACCGCTCTCCGGGAGCACCGCGACGCCAGTCCGCCAAAACGCTCAAACGCTTGGCGCGCGAACGCGATTTAAAGCTCCTCATTGGTCCGTCGTTTAAATCACGTGACCGGTTAAAGGAACGCTCCAAACGTGCAAACGGGTACCGTCGGCGCACAGTGGAATTTAAACCGGAAACTAGTTGGTCTGCAGGAAAGCCAGTTTTACTTTTTAATTTGAAAACATTTTTTTACACCAAAATTAGTGGACTGAGTTTCGTGTCCCCCCATACATTGAAGTTAGCTTTGTACGCAAAGATAAATAACAAATCGGATCTCCAACTTTTCGCGAGTGCATGACATCGCCCCCGTGCGATGCAGACTTGCAAGATCTGCAAATGGTCGCCATAGCGAGGGGCTCCGAAACGGACTTAGGAATGGGGGGGGGGCACCCGAAAATGCACACCTTTACCTCCAAATCTAAGCCGTATTGGTGGCGAAATTGTTGGTGGCCGGATGCCGCGACTCCCCCCCCCCCCCCCCCCGGCCCGCTGGTGGTGGAGACCTTGAGCTTGACCACAGCTGTAAAAGGTCCGCCAAAATTTATGGGTTTATCACCTTTCACCACGCCCCTCTCACTTCATTTCAAAATTCATGTCAAACTCATCGCGGCAATCCCCAACGCAATTCTCCTTATGCTAGGTCCAAATTATGCGTGTTTTTTGCCTCGCTTATTTTTTTAGGGGATTTGTCGTTTTCTGAACATCAAATCATTCCTCTCGTCCTCAGCGCCGCCGGCTCATTTCTGCTTGGAATGAGTTTCGCGTAGACCACCGTGCGCCAGCGTCGCCGCTACCGTGGCCTTGGCGCCAACGCCTTGAACTAACCGCGCCAACCGGTAGATAACGCCGGAGGCACCCGCGCTCGCGCGACAAGTGCACAAACATTGGGTAAAAAGAACCGGCGGGGGCCCCACGGACGCCGGCGCCGGACAGACGCGGCGTCCCCCTCCCCGCCGGGGTGGGGGTGGGGGGACGCTACCACGTGCTGTAACTGCCGGCCGGGTACGCTGGTTGGAGTGCGCTAAGTGTGGGCGATATCTGGCGCCGGCTCGTAGTAGCGTTCAAACATGACTTCATGATCGGGGTGGACGCCGGGCCATCGGACTATCACGTAAAACAAACGGCTTGTGGTATGCCGGCGATCGGCCGGAAATAACCGACCGGCAGCTAGTCGGCGCCTACGCCCTGCAATGCAAATAATTGGCGACTGACGGCACGCGCGGCCATTGGCCAGTTATGACTCACGATGTTAGGCAACACATATGTCAACATGGAGCATTCCATTCCGGATTAAAGTGAAAGGCTCAACAAACATTGCACAGGTATTGCTCATGTTGCGCTCAAAAATCGATGGCTAGAATGCAAATGTCAATGCTACATTTATTTGCGAGCTTACAGCTGTAAGAGACATACAAGCGTTACACCAACACGGCGAATGGCATATGATGTGGCCTGTAACACAGAACTCTGAGATGACCAGGTAGGTGAGACAGGGGAGCTAAAGCACCAGTTCCATAGGAACGGCCGGCTGGCCCAGCTCACAGGACCGCCAGATAGTACCGGTAAAACGAACTGCTGACAAACATTGCGGACTCGCGGGGACACGTCCTGAGTTAACGCCGTGGCGAGACGTGTACGTCTGTGTCCCAGGCTGCCGCTAAAAGAGAATAAAATAATATCATTGATTCTTATATCCTTTAACAGGGAACCGTCATGGCTACTAACAATGTGGCTATCTATTCCGACTAGTGTTTCCCGTTACCGTCTGCGTGGCAGTACCTACTGCTATCCCTGAGGGAGCCCCGGCCGCGTCTCCCAGTGCAGCAGAGCGGCTGTCGGAGCTGCCCGGCCGAGAGCCCCCCCCCCCTCGTCCTCTGTGACGGCCCGGAGAGGCGGCCCCTCGCCCGCCGCTGACCATCAGAGGAAGGGCAGCAGGTCGCCGATCTGGGGCGCCACCAGCTCGGGCACCTGCGGCGCCAGGGCGCCGTCGGCCGCCGAGTCCGCCACCAGCCGCTCCAGGTCCGCGCGCGTCGTCACGCCCGTCAGCACGGCCAGCGTCCGCAGACCGCACACGTTACCCATGGTGATGTCCGTCTTGCAGCTGCCGGGGAAAACAAACCGTGCTCGGTCCGCGGGCTTCACGAGTACACCAGGTGACAACTACGGCCACCAACGTAACCTGATATTTAAATATAAATGTTACAGTCCACAAACTAAGCAGCGCCGTGAGGCAGCCGCAGAGAGCCAGTCAGCGGTGCGCAACACAACTACTCATTTCGGAGACAGAGCCCGCTCTGCAGGCGACTTAATCTCCGAGGGAGACAGGTGCGTGGGTGGGCACAGAGCACGTTCCAATATGGCGACGCATCTGTCCATAACGACCTGCTCAACTGACGACCACCTCATGTCCTTCACTGTTCACAGCGTTGTTACCGGGTGATCATTTTTGAATGATACAAAAACATTTGTTAATATCAGCCATGTGTTAAGCTGGATAGTTAAACCAAACACACCCATCGAACACGTACGGTGGGACATTTTATCTGGAACACACAGTCAGTCATTAATGTCAATAGCCAGCTTAGAGGAGGTGCCCAAAGTGTGCACCCCTCGCGGACCGCCGACCAGCTGAGCTCCGCTCGATGCCGGGTTTGTCTGACCATTTTCTGCTGATTATCGCCGCCGTCCCATGCTCCGGGTAAAGTATCCTTCTACCACTATTAGATGTGCAATTGTCTTTGGCTCACATCTGACCACACCTGTCATTAGGTGAGGCCAGACACTCAAGTACAGTCACGAGAAGTCCGGGCTGTAAGACGGGCGGTCGTGCTCGCTTATTCGCAAACTGCAGGCTTACCAGCTTTGGGGCACGGGAACTCAATGACAGGCGCGGATGTGTGTGGAGAAGCACAGTCTTGTTGAAAAGAGTGTCGGAGACGCGTGAATTAGTCATACAAAGCCGGCCAAACGACAGGTTACAGCATTCTCTAGAAGGCCGTACCGTCCCCGGGTCCGCCAAACCAGTGCACTCGAACGCACTTCCATCAACAATGTCCACTTCGGAATTTTTGTTATTCTTAGTGTCTTCGTGCACTCCAAGATCCTTTGCAGGTTCCAGGAAGCCCGTATAACCGTGCTATTGCCTTTGCACATGCGCCATGAACTAAAATTGGTTGTGCTGCAAAGCCATCCAGCTGAGATATTGCATCGTTACACTAAGATGTCCAAAAAGGGTATGCTATAAAAACGGATGATATTTACCGTACCTTAGGACGGACTTGGACAATGTTGATAAAAAACAAAATGTCCAAATGTCCCTCATGTAAACCAGCACGTGAAATCAAAATATCTTGTCCTATCTTTGCACGTGGCGACTTTCTTTTTGTATCATTCAAAAATGATCACCCGGTATATTGCCTTAATGACGCAAAGGTTTCATCTTTCCCACACAAAACCAAAGTTAGCTTTTGAAATCTTCTACACTGCGTTAAATTGTATGTCTTGAACCCGCAAGAATAAGCGACTCACCATCCTACTTTATCCAGGAACCGGCGAGCTGGACGTAAGGGTCCATGAGGGCCGTCAACCTCTCCATTTTTGTTTGTTTGTTAAAACGTGTGCGATTGACAACGGGAGGCTTGAACAGCTTGTCGTCGCGTCGCTTTTAGGAGAACTGCATTTAGACGGCAAATGATGAGTAGCCTCTCAGCGCGTCGCTGATTATCCGGTGCCCGCTGCGCCGCGCGCCTTCAGCCGGTGCTGACCGCGTCACTCACTTGTCGCCTACCATGACCGTGCGGGCCGGGTCGAGGCCGTGCTGGCGGCGCAGCGCCTCGAACACCTCGCGCGACGGCTTGCCCATGATGGTGGGCTCGCGGCCGGACGCCACCGCCACCGCAGTCACCATGGTGCCCGTGCCTGCCGCCGAGACGACACATACACATCGGTACACAGAACGGGTTGTCGGAGGACAGCTACAGCCTGTCGAAGTATTACATAAAATATACTTTTTCGTTGAAGCATCTCAACAGTCATCAGAAGTTCGACATGCATGTGAAATTCATCACGGAATACGCCCTCCCCGAGCTTATTTCCGGTTTATTGACTGAAGTAATTCATTTACCTCAACCTTTTACAGGTATGGCGAAAGCCCTCGACAAAAGGCACGGCCGGGGCGGACTACTCGCTCACCTGGGCAGACGATATGCTCCATGGGGAAGCGCTCGTCGCGGTTCGTGGCAATGAAGAGGACGTCGGGGTTCTTCAGGTATGAGGACGCCTTCAGGATCTTGTTGAATGATATGTGGCTGTCGAAGCCGACCACGACGGCGCCCACCTCCGGGTCCAGGCGGATGTGGTCCAGCCGGCCGTCAAACACGTTACCCTCCATGACGTCCGGCTGAAGAAAACATACGTTTCTCTAAAACACCTTCAAACATTTCTTAAAACACCTTTGTGTGACATAACTACATACTTCCAAGGCCGTAACCCATGCTAGACGGAGCTTGTCGCGCGCGTCCTGACATCTACCGCCAACACGGGAAGTTCCGAGTACAAGAAAAAACGAGCGTTCCCGCATCCCGCCCCCACCCATCGAGTTCATCCCGCCTCCAATGCGGCCGCCGCCAACGACAGCAAGCCGCATTCGCTGGGAGAAAACATCGGCCAGCGCAGCGGCTCGAATTGGCCGCTCATCAATGATTAACCAAGGGGACTGAAACCCATTTAAAGGGACCCTCCCACCTTCAAAAAAGTTAATGAATTGGCATAAAAGTGATGTAGCGTGAATCACAAAGAGCGAAAATGAACATCTACCAAATTTTACCGGAAAATATTCACCCGTTTTCGAGATATAAGACTTTTATTTTTGTTTACTTTTTGGGAAATCCGCTGTTTCTATGACGTCACATAAAGGTTTTCTTTACGTCGGCATTTGGAAGCAATAGTTTGGTATCAAAGTGCGACAAATATTGCGCGAATGATGCGTTTATCTTATCAAGGTCAATATATGATGGCCAATAAAGGATTCCAGGACAATTCTTATGGCATTTCTTCGTATCGCAATTCTTCGTCTGCAAATCTTCGTCAGGGCATTTATTCGTACCTATCGCATTACTTTGTCTCGCACCAGGGTATATGAAAATCGGCTCGCATTTCTTCTTCAACGCAAATATATGCAAGAGTAAGCATTGAGGGACAAATAAATGCACCGACGAAGATTTGTAGACGAAGAAATGCGGACGAAAAATTGTGCTACGAAGAAATGTCATGCGAGGATTCGTTCGGGTACCATGACATTTATGTGATTTCAAAGTCAAGGTTCACAGCTGATCTGCTAAATCAAGCCAAGAATCCAAACTATCAAAAAACTATAAATATTTGTCTGTCACAGAGGTCTCAAGCAATATAAGGTTGACATATGTTGAATCAAAAATCTACTGTCACAACTCACATCTCCTGCCTTAGTTTATCATTGTTGTTTTAACTTGCTTTCAAGAGAAACAGAAGCCAGTATCTGATATCACTTCAGATGATTGTTTCAAGATCTGAGTTCAAATGGAAATAAAAGCAAGATCAAGATGAAACAGGGATTATTGCTGTTAAAGTATTTTGGCCATGATACAACAAGCACATAAATCATTAGCCAAATCAAATACTGGTTGGTTTGTCAAGATGTTTGTTGTCTGTCGTCTGTCGAGCTGCTATGAACACTGAAAGAGTGAGCTGCCCTCACTCTTACTTTAAAGAGAGTAGTTTAAGTTGAATGGTAGTGAGCTGTAATTAGACAAAGCAGCTATTCAGTGCTCACATCAAGCCAGGCTAGGAAATGGCATCAACTGTGGTGGGAGGAAGCAGGTTCGGCAGCCCTATGTTGTAAACTTCTGTTATGTCTTGTGTTTGATCAACTGATGTTTTCTGCTCTGTTTTGTGCAGTGATAGTAGCAGGTAACTGCATGCTTGTCAAATTATGTGAATAAACGAATTCATAACATTGCATTTTTCTCTCCATGCAAGGAACAAGTAAGATGTTGTAGAAAATGTAATAGAGGGCTGCATTGCTGATTTTGCACTTTATCAGAGCTTTATTTAGAATTGCTTTCCTGAAAGCTACACACAGGCCACAGTGCTGAAATTCACAATGTCATAGCTTTTGGCAGAAAAAAGAAAAGACTTACCGAGGTTAAATTGGCTGAAAGTATGGCAGAGCAGGTCTTGATGCGTATGCCCATCCGTGTGCTTGCCGAAGCCGAACTGACTGCAACACATTTAACTCTGACCCACCATGGTGGCTGGCATATCCAGAACTTTCACCACTCTAAACAAGACAACTTTCAGCCCTCAGCATTGTATTAAAACACTGTACAAAACACTCAAAATTTGTTTCAGTGCCATCCACGGACAACATCAGTCGCCATTCACCAGGCCAGTAAAAACAGAATAGATAATAGCTTCAAACCCATGTAGTCAGAGTTACTAGGTCTGCACCTCAAAACAAAATCCAGGTGACATTCACCACGCCAGTAAAAAACAGGTACTTAGGTAACGTAACAGCTTCAAATCTGGTAACATGTTGGTCGGACTTTACACTACCATATTTACATGGAATAATATGATACCAAACAATAGTGCAACCATTCTGGACAACAAAAGTGTATGATAAAATTAATTTAGAATACTCTGGCAGCATGATTTACGAGCACAGGCAGGTGTTACCTACCAGCCTTCTCAATGCTCGTAAAACCAACATTGTAGTTTTGATTTTACCTTACATGATAACACACTTGGCTGCAATGGCACATTTAATTTAATACTGTGAAAAGACCAGTTATAACCACTTCACAAGCACAATTGCACCTCATGCCGACATCCTTTTCCAAAGACAGTCAGCAGCGTCTTTCGTCAAAACTGGAAGATAAATCCCCTTTCAACTGTTAACATCAAAAATATTTCTTCATGGTGTGACTTTGATCTCCATATGGAAACCTTGCAGGAAAAGAATTAATGTCAATTGTCAGCTCTTCAAATTTCTTTGGACTTTAACTTGCAGTACCATATCCAGTTTGCTTTGATATTTTGTTTTTTATTCCATGTTGAAGTTGAACACCAAGCTCCAGATATAGCAGGCAGCTTGATCATCTTCGGCCTTGGTATAATATCAGTCCAAGTTCCAGTGGTGGGTATCTTCTAATATTCAAATTAAAATGAAAAGCAACATGCTTTCTCAGCGCCGACGACGGATTTCACGTTGATAAACAAGGGAGCTCAAGGTCAGCAAAACTCGGGTTCAAGGAATGGCGGGCGTTGAAATGACTGCTGACGTCATCAAAAAACCGCTAATGGTTAAGAGATAGGGACTAAGCTGGTCCCACCCTGCAAGTAAAGGGAAGAAATTTCTTGAACACCATAAAGCTGCGGGGGTTGCGACCAGGATAAATGGTGGTTTCTGAGCCTGGCCGCAAACTTGGCTATCTCAACTCAAAACTAATGTTAAGGTGGGATGGTCCCTTTAAATCCAGGTACCCGAAATAAACTGCCCAGTATCCAGTACATACCTGTATCACGTAAAAAAACGAAACATGACAGACAGATCATTATCTTTCTTATGTCCCTACGAAGCGAACCCCTGCACCACTCACGCCCTCGCCGAGGTGGCGAATGCCGGCTGCGTCCATCTCACGACTCAGTCCAGATGAGCCCACCAAGTACACCTTCTTGTCAAAGTGTAACGACTTGAGGTACTGCACCGTGAGATAGGACGTGCTGATCACCTGAGGCTGTAAACACCCGGAAACAAAGATGGTTTGAGGACATTCAACCACTGTCACACAAAAAAGGCAGCAATCCCTTGAGCTTACCATGGCAGAAAAATGTGTTTATTCTCGCCAGTGACTGGACAGAGGTGGTGACAGCGACATCTGTGCGCGTCCGAATAACACTGGCATTCCAAACGACATGAGCCGACAGAGCGCGCCACCGCGCCCATACAGGACGACGGAAAATATTTACCTCTGGACTTCTTTAAATGCTCCTCAATCTCAGGTATTATTCGACTTAGTATGCAGTTTCTGTCATTGATTAAAAACACCTTTCATGGATGAAAGTGAACATAATGCTTGTACGTTTATTAACATAACAAGTTAAGTATATAAGGTATATTATTACCAAGTGAAAGAAACCGACCCCGCAAACAAAGTAGCTACTACATGTTTGGAACCAGTTATGTGCTCCCAATATCACATCAATTTTTTATTACAACACCATGAGGCCTTGATGAGGAGAAGGAAGATCATGAGGAGGAACATCTTTTGAATCTGACGTTTAGCCACATAAACATAATTCAATATAAAAAAATAATTTCCAAAATCAACATCTCAAAGCCAATGGTTAAAATGACTCAAGTGAAGACGCCTGCCGCCATGAGATTGAAGGGAACAGAAAATGTCGTTTCCATGTTTGAGCGAATAACTGTGAAACAACTATAATAGCCTCGAGTAGCGCCGCACCCACCTCATTGCAGTTAAATCCCAACTTAGCGCATTTGGCAACATATTCGTCCCTTGTCTTGGTACTGTTATTCGTTACCAGAAACACTTTCTTTCCAAGTTCTTGCAGTTTGTTTACGACGGCGTTCGCATCTTTTATCACGTCACCACCGTTCCAAAGGACGCCTGAAACGGGCGGGTATGGCGGCCGCATGTCACTTGAAAACTAAAATAATCTCTCGAAATCAATGAATTGTATTTTAAATTATTTAAACATGTTATGTTTTAAACTTCACCAAATTAGCATGCAAACATAATGCCTTCAAGCAGGAATCACCTATTTGTATCACACTTCAAAATTTAACACAAACTAAAACACCATGTTAAATAAAAAATGGCATTGAAGAAATTGGTAAGAGCAAACATCCCACATCCTTGCAGAGTGTAAAAATTTAAAGCTGCTACATGGAGCTATGTACATGAAGAGCTTGTGTGCTGTAACGTGTGAAACGTGTGTAAAAATGATGAATTCGTAGTAGATTTGGTGGTGAATACCTGCAGGCGAGAGCAGCCCGTGAGATCGCTGATCATGTGAGATCAGCCTCGTTACCCAGCCTGGCGAGCCTGGCGTGAGTGCCCTAACAACCACGGGAGACTGCTTCATCGTCTTGATTTACATGTCTGTGCTTATATTAAATAAAAGTCCCTTTTGGAAAGTGTATAAATCTAAAAACAATTGTCTGAAACTGACACAATAATTTAAATGGTTTCGAGTTGCAGGGAAAATTTCATGACCCTAACCCCAGTGACCTTTGGCCTGTTACTCTAGACCATGTCAGGCCGGAATGTGATTCAGCGCATGTCAGCGCATATTATCCGAGCGGATCAAAACTTCTGCTGATTATAAACGTGCAACATGTGAAATGCTGGTTGTGCAATACAGTGTGGTGGCTGTCAAGGTCACATGACCGGTGAAGGCCAGGTCCAGGTCATTGACCTTAGATGATCTTGGTTCACTTTTTCTAGTTTTACACATAACTGGGGTGGTTTTTGGAGCTTGTTTCGAAATTGGCGCCCATTTGAACATTTGAGAAGTAGCCTACGTAACCTATTATGAATTGTCAGTGGTGGTTTCCGCCTACTATGGACAGTGAGTGGGATCCCCACTGGTTGACCAGACCTGACCCGATCTAATCCAAATGCATGAATACATTTGATCATCTTTGATCAAAACTAATGTAAATTTCAGAATCATGACCCTCCCCCCCCCAAAAAAAAACACAACACAGCTTCACCCTAAGAATCTACCAGGTCCCGAATCTTGGGTCACTGACCTGACCTGTAATGTTTACTAATGAACTAGGACCTTAAAATTGGACATCAGTGATTTCCTCTCGTCACGGGGAACACGCTCGTTTTTTGCTCTAGCTCGATCAGGGGCCGAACGGCTGGGTCCATGGATATCCCCCTCCTCCCCCCGTGCACATCAGCAGCTGGCAAAACACCAATAATGATGATGTTAAAGTTTCACTCACTGAAAACATTCAGACTAAATAAAAAAATCTTCAAGCCAAAGGGTCTTATCACAAATTAATTAATAACACAGCTGAAAGTGTCTTACCATCACAGTCGAATAGGAATGTATCTGTTGACTGTAGCAGAGCCTTGGCCTTCTCACAATCCAGCGGAACTGCCTGCCTCATCGTGCGCAGTGTGCGGATTCTGGAACACAACATCGGAAGGAATGTTGTAATCCAATCTACCCTGAAAGGTAGAGAGGAAATGATATGTTTACCATTAATTTGATGAGAAGACAACGGTAGCCAACATTTGTAAGGTAGGTTCGTGAATAAGTGGTTCAATCCATCAAAAGCCTCATTCAAGAGGCATACCTTCTCTGCAAAAACCGAAGTACAAAACGACAATCAAATGAATTTGCCGCAATAAATGTTCAATCATTTTTTTACTACATTTCCAAGGGCACTGAAAATTAAAAGATAATCTAAATAATGCCTTAGCTTTCGTTAACCCGCGCCGTGCTGGGATGGGTGGGGTGGGGGGTGGGGGGCGTTTTTTTCACACTCCTCCGCAGGTTTTTCGCGAATAGTTACAGTAAATTGGATAGTCCCTCTCTGACCTACACCAACACTGTGACTGTGCTACAAATAATGGCCTTCTTCTTCGTGGATTAGGGCGCGTAGCCGTACAAATAATGGCCGAAGCAAACAGCTTTTTGGTGAATGGCTCATATGCGTCAAAAACGCAACCAATCAAAAATTCCTGAAACGCCTTGCCCGAATCATTGTTTTTATAATTATTTGATGGCTTCGAAAGATTACTCGCAATTTTTTGTGTTTTTTTTTTTCCTTTGAAAAAATGATGCAATTTTTCACATAAGAATAATATGCTCTGAATAATGGTGTGCGTTTTGATAGGTCGGTTGCCATAGTAACATTCCTCTGATTTCCGGTCTGCTTACTTTCTGTCGATTGCAGTCAGCTGATGGAAGAGGATGATAACGATGATAACGGTAAAATCGGTAAAATAGAAGTTCAAGATCAGTGATATGGCCGGAAATGAAAGCTGCACAAGTCTCAACGAACGAGAAATGCAGTCGGGGCAGGAGTGACTAACACCGAACTATGTAACTGATATTCACCTTCCGTTCACCAGGTAATGCAATGCTATTGCAAGGCGGAAGGTAACGCGAGGAATCCCATTCATTCCAATTCATTCTGATTCAGTCATTCATAGCTGACGGCGGATGCGGGCGCGGATGCGACGACGGTCCGGGTCGGTGACTGGTGAGTGCACTTTGTCCGGATGTTTCAGATTTTTCATTTTGTCATAACTGACCGTGATTGTAAGTTGTATTTTGTAATTTGTATAATGCCTACATATGCATTATCGTAGACGTATGATGACTCGAAAATTGAGGTGATTTAGAGTGGTTGTAGCCTGTAGGTTTTGATCATTTTTAAGCTAAGATAAAGATCGATTTTTATCGCCCCGGCCCATAGGCGGCGGAACGGGGAGGGCACCGGGGCACCGTGCCCCCTTTGATTTTGGCATTTCAACATTAGCCCTATGGGCGTTGCACGGAAAGAATGGGACCAAAAGTCGGCGGCGCCCCCCCCCCCCCCTTACTTGAAGGTGTTCCGCCACTACTGTCCCGGCCAACCGTACCTCCTCAGCCAACCCTTCATTTGGAAAAGTGAGCATGCTTCTCATAAATTTACGAGTAGTTCGAAACAGGATATTTTTTTTATAAACGGGATAATTTAGATGGCCAAAGTTGAACCTGAACGTGCCCATAAAAGCCAGACCTAGATAGCAGATGGTAGATACCAAACCAACGCGTAATGCGCTATATTAGACGGCGTCAGAGGCACGCTTCAATCCTATTTTCAGCTGGCCACTAACAAGACATGCCAAGCTCTGTTCTCTTCTCTACGTCTGTATAGGTTTGACCAAGGATACGGCCTGTCCCACGCAACTGACCGACTGGCTGCGGCTTCTCCCACACCCACCATCAGCAAGTTGACCATCTCCAATCTCAATCATGTTCATGAGTCTCGTATATCGAGCGCCGTAGCGACTCGGTTTCGAGTCGATTTCGAACCCGGGCTCTTACTACCGGGAGCCCAATGCTCCACTAACTGAACTACGGGACAGGCTTAAACAATGAGTTTATTTGTTATGATTGGAAATAGTTGTTTCAGATACCTTTTCACAGTTTATTGCTCGGTTATGAAAATGTGACAATTGAACCGTCCGTTTTCATCATGATCATTGATCATCAGAACCAATGCGTTTCTCGACCGTCCACTTCATGTTCCGGGCTTGGGCTCGAGTTTCGACGGCTCCTTACACCGGTAACCGGAGAAGACTTAGGGTAGGGTGGGGGTGGGGGAGCTCTGAGCCGTGGGGGAGGGGGGGGGGGGTCGGTGGAGGTGAACTGAAGACTATGGGGGTGACCGTTTGTGTGGTGAAGATTACTTAATACTTGGCTGTGCGACCTGGTCACCAGTCCCTCGGGATGGACCGAGCGGTGGCCGCGCTCCACCAGACTGTCCCGTTGTTGTTTTCGTAAAACATAGCCCTGAAACGGTCTTGTTGAATAGTGTTACCTATGAACAGCCCTCATCTCACTGCGTGGAAGGTATTCTTTTTTTTCGAGAAAACCGATAATAACGCGAAAACTATGCTATCTGTCGTAAGACCAAGACGCGCGAGGCTTCACAGTTCACACCGTAGATTGAGCTCATCATGGTAAAAAAAAATTCATACAGTTTGCCAACAATACACGAAAGTTTACATTTGTCCCAAAACAAGCTTTGGTCTTTTGTTGCCACACTTTGTATAAAGGTAAGTTATTTAGTGATAGACCCAATCGAAAGAGCGGAGCATGGTACATCTCTGTGCTATGAATTTCGATCGACTGAAACATAGCCCTCGAGCTATTATCGGTTTTGTCTAAAAAAAAAAAGAATACCTGCCACGCAGTGAGATGAGGGCTGTACCTACAGCAGGTCGGTCCTAGTACAGACTACAGCAGGACCTAGTGCAGCAATAAGTGTATTCGTGTTAATTTGAAATATTACTTTTTTAGATAAAGATGGCGACAAGCCTATTTAGCGTGCACATCATAACGATTTGAATTGCGATCTTTGCTGGCAGCCATATCGAAAATATATGATGAACGAAGCTGTAAAGGAGGAAATGTCTCAACACCACTTGGTAACGCGTGTCATGCCAGCAAAACCAAGCATGACGTGAATAAAGCTAGCCGAGTAAACGGATAGACCCCGAGAAGAACTCAAACAGCGTCATGGCTCTCCGGAGAAAGAGCTCCAGCTCATCGCAAGTCAAGTTTCCGCCCGTACCGGATGCCAGTCCGAGACCTTTCGCCAGAGACCAGTACAAGGACTGCTTTCTGCTGAAGTTCAGGGCAGAAAAACAAAAGCAGCTCAAACTGCAGCGACATCTGTAAGTCGAGCATTGACGTCGACATTGGCATTAACGATATTGAGTCCTTTTTTAGTGTTTTTGGCTAATTCACATCTTCATATAGTTCACTCTTTTGTGTCAACAGATACTGATTCCGTTTTGCCTGAAGAGGCGTTAGTGTTTTAAGCTCATTATGTTGCGAAGATTAGCCGTCTTTTGTCAGCAGCTGCAGCCATACCTGACCCCTGTTGCGTGGCTGAGCGCTGCCCCACGGTGTGGCCTGCCAGGGAGCTGCGCGCGATGCTGGACAAGGCGCGCGTTTTCGAGCGTCTGCAGCGTCACCCGCTGCCGTCGGGCTGGGAGCCCACGCTCAAGGAGCAGCACCACATCGGCTTCCTGCAGGGCTGCGTGCAGCTGGCGCCCATCCCGGCCGTCTCCGAGCGCTGGCTCGCCAACATGGTCAAGGTGAGTCGCGGGAGGCTGGGCACGCCGCGCGGTGTGCCGCCGGACCGGGCCCAGCCGCGGCCGACGCCAGGCACCGCCGGCAGTCCGGTCCGGTCCGCAGCCACCCGACCGCCACATTTTGTAACAATGGGAGTGGGACGTTACATCGTTTACTGCGATGCATGATGGAATGTAATATGTTTGCGGATTGCTGGAATGCATTTTTATCATATAGGATGAATGACTTGAAACCTTCCGAGCCATACAGCATGTTTTTATGAAGGAGAACTAAATCTTTTGTACATACAGCTCGCCTGGGACCAAAAAGGGCCCTATTTTCATAACCTGTCGCGCCGGCAGGTATGCATAGGGTCGAGTCGGAAGCGCCCCCGACAGGACGGTGTAGTCGGTGTACTGTACATGTCGTATATGTCGGTGCATACGACACGTCGTCAGGTGCATATGTCGGTGTATACCGATGTCGGTCTTTACCGACACTGGTGCATTCTGTATAGTGTGGTCCGGAGCGGCCCTGACAGGTATACAGCCAGGTCCAGGACGCCAGGGCACTATCTGCACGGGTTCCGGGCCCGATATTGGTCCGACAAGTCTCACCCATCACTGTTGTGAACAGTGGACATTGGACAATTCACGCTGGGGCCTACGCATAAAGACCCACGATGAGATAGGTATTACTGGATGACGAGAAAATATTTATCTTATTGAATGCAACGAGCATCCTGTGTAGAACAAAAATTAGCAGCAAGCACCAATGTGGCTAGAGTAAGGTGCTTTTAGACTTTAGTGATACCAATAACTAGCTATCATACGTAGGTAGGTAGTTGACATGAAAGGCAATTTAATATGGATCATATTTGGCGAGAGAAGAATCTTTCCAAGCCTAAAAATGAAGCGTCGGCATCGAAAGAAGCGTTAGGGTGGCCACTTTGCCGCGGTCACCCCTACCTGATATCGCCGACCTATTTCACGGAGACCGTTGTCGGGGTGAATCACCTGCAGCCCTCCGGCGACCTCGGCTGCACTCCGCCCGCCCGCCCGGTAGGTATATTGTTTGTAGGGCCGTGGCTGCCCGGTGAACACACCGTTCCGTGATTCTATCCTCAGGTTACAGAAATCCTTCTCCTCCGCACCGCAACCCCCTCCGGGCTGGACAGGCAACTTTATCTCATGCGGGGTGCTCCTTTGGAGCGGCACCGCCGCGCTGCTCCCGAGGGAGTGCACCCCGTAGCCGGGTGCAGTGAGTAGGTACAGTAGGTCTATTAAAAAAGTCCCCAGCACCAGTGGGCGCTGCCTTCGCTGAGCCGAACCCCCGTCTGCCTGTCCCATATCGCGCCGGGCTCAGGTCAGGTAGGGTCAGCGGGACCGCTCGGTCCGGCCCGCGGGCGGTGGACGGGCGGCCGGTAACGCTTTCCGCCAGCCAGCTGTAGAATCCAACAAACGGGACGGCCACCGCTCAGCGCAGCGAAACCGGTGTCAAAGAATGGCAGTAGATGTTCATGGTCACAATGATTATGAGATAGTCATTGTTAGCCCATGCTCCACAGGAATGCCTAGACTCTTACGCCCTGTTGGAGGGGAAGTGGGGATTGAGCATCATTCTTATAACTCAGCTTTGGGCATTTAAGTGGTATTCAAAGTAGCGTCAAAGGTAGCAAAAAGAAGAAGAAATACTTCAGTCAATTTTAGATCGGGTCAGAGCCAGAGGTCATGTCACCAGATGTCATCGTTGGTAACATTTTGCTTGGACAGGGTGCGTTGCGCGCACCGGTGCATTGGGTTTCCAATTTCCATGGAAACATCAACATACTCGGAAGCTCGCAACGCTAGCGTGGAGCCGAATTCATATCAACCGCCGCAACAATGCAGCAGCGCAGCGCAGCGTGCTGCAGCGCGGGACCGTGAAACACCGCCCAGGGTTATCTATGTGTCAGGGCAATCCAGCCCACGTGATGGGCTCAGCCCCAACGGAGTATGAGGTCCAGGATTCCCGCCCAGGCCCCCTGCCCCCCTAATTTCTGTCATCCTTCCCACTCTGAAATCGACCGAAAGAGCCTAACCCAACACAGCAATAAGCTCGTTTACCGCTATGTCTGAATAATATTGTCAGATTTAATTAAGGTCAACGGCTTAGCATGTAAATAACAACAACTGCCACCATCGGTATTATGAGAAAACCAATTGCTTTTCCACAAACACTTAAAAGTTTTTAGCTTAAAACTTGCATGACATCAATTTTACTAGCCTCGTGTTCCTCTTTTCAAAACGCTTCGAATGAATCACAAGTTGATCTTTAAAAGTCATTTGAAAAATTTGGCCTATGTTCATAGACATGACCTGACCAGAAATGGCCATGATGCATAGCAGGATATTAGATCCGTATCGTGGAACTTTACAAACACTTCAGATGATTTCATAACTTAAGCATGTCTATAAAAAATAATTATTACATGGCTCATGTGTAAGCTGGGTGTGTGATCATGCTTACGAGTATGTTGAACGCAACTGATAATGTTCTGTAGGCCACAATTTCTATATTTGATTTATCCTCCTGGATTTCATATTTTTATTAATGACACCTTGACGATGTCGAGAAAAAAACGTTTAGGAGATTTAACAGCCTGAGATACATTCAGTATAAGGAAGGGTCAAGGGTGCTAGATTCCTTCCGTCCTCGCTATCCTCAGGAAAAACCAATCCGCATCGCCCCTAGTCTTCATGCTTCCCTCTCTGGACTGGAGGTCACCCCACCAGCCAACCTGTAGTTGATGTCGGATCCATCCTGCAGGACACATAATCCTCTTCGGGTGACCGTTTGGGAGACGGCTGGACCGTCCTGACAGGGCAATCGTCCCACGGGAACAGTTTCGCTTCCGCAGATCACTGTCGCTGGCTCGCACAACCCAATTACTACACCAGAGCATAGGTATGTCAAAGCTCTGCAAGGGCCTTTTCAGACCTAAAAAGATGGCTCCCAACAAAACAAACAATTTTATCATTCAGTATTGTATCTCATCGAGCACCACATGTTTTCAGAGTTTTAATTATGCGTTCGGTCCAAAAAAAGCGCAGTTCAATTTTCTCCCATTGACTTGAGCTATCTCAAAATTGACCCGGCCTCATTTCTGTCAACAATGTCAAACTTGCAAAGTAAACGTTTCAAATACCTACATATACTATTGAATGCCCTATACCATATACCATATACCAATGCCCATTGAAATCGCTGAAAGTTCTAAAGCGATCGGTTAGTCGGTGTATCTAGATTGAGCACACACTGAAAAAAAAATTTACTCAGGCCTGGCATTACTCAGTAATAACTCATGAAGAAACTCAGTGAATACGATAGTGGTGCTCACTTATTGGCTGATCTAACTCACATCACCAGGGTGACTTCGTTATGCGTGATTTCTGAGTGCTTAGTTTCGTGAATTCGAACTGAGTCGGAAATGAGTTTTGCTTGGGCAAATCTAGTTTCCTGCGCAATGCATGAGTTCTCGCGAATTCACGTGCAGTTGTGCGTGAGGTACCCCCGGCTTGAAGATGCGCGCATGCGCGGCAGGGTGAGTGTCCTGCGTGATGCGTGAGTTCGCGTGATGAGTATTATAGCCGTTGCGTTCGAAAACCGCGGCGCGCGCTTCAGTCCGTTGTGGCGCGGTGACTCGCGTAGTTCACGTTGAATTGTTGAGGCTATTGTGAAATTGTGCGGGAGAGTGCAGGAGCGGGGAAGGCGTGCAGCGAAGGATGGGACGGGTAAGTTATCTGTGAAGAGCTCGGTGATTGTCGATGAAGCTTTTATCAATCGCATGCGCCGCGGAGAACAGGGAGGTGAACTGATGGACCAGCAGACATTCCCCGCCGGCGTCAGGAGGTCGGTGCCAACCGTGAACGGCGGAGCAGATCGATCGAGAAACTGAGGGATACCTACCCGGCATAGTTCGAAAAAGAAGAGGTGAGTTATGTTATATTTAAATTTAACCCTTGCATGTGTGCGGCGTTTTCCAGCTTCTAATGTGTAGGGGGGGGGGGGTCGGTTGGACCCCCCCCCTTGCCGTTTAGCCCCTGATCGAGCTAGAGCTTCGCGGAAAAAACGAGCGTGTTGCCCGTGACGAGAGGAAGCCGATGATACCCAATTTTAAGGTCCTAGGTCATTGGTTGACCTTCCAGGTCAGGTCAATGACCCAAAGTCGGGAAAATCGGGACCTATTAGAAAGTCGTAAAGTGTGGCTGCTAAGGGGTTTTTCGGGGTACTGATCACGAATATCGTGTTAGTTTTGATCACAGATGATGTCTTGAAGCATTTAGACCAGGTCGGGTCAGGTCAGGTCAGGTCAATCAGTAGGCGTCGTGACGGGTATTCGTAGTACGTGTCAACCGCCTCTGACAGCTTCGTAACATGTTACGAAGGCACCAAAACTACTTCGTAAATGTTCAAATGGTTGTTAAATTCGAATTCAGCTCCAAAAACTAGCCTAGAAACATGTAAAACTCGAAAAAGTGAACCGAGGTCACCCGAGGTCACCAAAGGTCAGTGACCTGACCTGACCTTCAGGTGACCTTGACACCCACCCTAATGCATGGGAGCAACATCAAATCACATGTTTGAACGTTTGAAACCACGAAAAGCTTGCAAACGCGCGGCTAATGCGAGCCGACGTACGCCGAATCGCGATTCCGGCCAAACATGGTCTCGGAAAAGAGGTCACAGGTCAAAGGTCATTTGGGTCAGGGTCATGAAAGTTTCAGGGTAGGTGTAAAATTGATCAATGCGATGGTATTGAAAGTTTCGTCGCGATCAGCCGCTTTTTACGCGAGTTATTCGCGAAAAACCATGGGGAAAGGGGGTCAATCCGACCCCCCCCCCCTACACATGCGAGGGTTAAAAAAACATGTTTGTGGGATAATGTTGTCCTTATCCTAAAAGAACGTTCATTTGACCCTTTTTACTTCTTTAAACAAGAACTCCGTCACGACCCGATGTTTTTTTTTGGGGGGGGGGGGGC